TCTTGCTACTAACCCAGTAATAAAACCCGTCAAGATGGCAGAGTGGAGCGATGGGAAGAACCTGGATCCCGGAGGACATTTTGAGCCTCTGAGTATGCTCAATGGCATCCAACCTCTGGACCTCCAGGTCTGTGAAGGAACAATTTTCTGAATTGCTTAGAGTTTTCTGTTACTTGCAGCCCAAAACATCCTAAATGCTATGTGAGTATCCTAGGACTCAGGAGTTAAGTGAATTGCTTACGTCACCCAGCTATTACATGGAAGAGATCAGACTGAGACCCATATTTCCCTACTCCTCATTCAACTTTCTGCTTTCCTCTATCCCAAAGGGACAATTTTACTTTTCTGAAATTAATCACAGGATATACCATCATTAAATTGAATGTTTACATCTCTTTCTTCCTCAGGATAGTTAATAAAACAACGGCCAGTAATGACCCCCGTCCTGTAGCAGACAGAGCTTTCACACCCTCACTGAAAGGATGAGGCCCACGCTGGATGGATGCTGAGGTCCTGGCTGTCTCCCAGATTTCATGTCTCTCTGGTTTCACTCCCTCTGCCATCTTTGCTGAAATGTCTGCCCTGCACCTTTTCTCAGCCCAAGCATCATATATTCTAATTTCCAATTGCTCTAACCTGTGCAGAATTGGCCCACCTTTGTTTGGACATCACTGTAGCATCTACATGCTTTTATCTTATTGCCAAGATGCCTTATTGCACGATGATTTTACTCATCTGTTGTATCAGGATGCTTTCATCTGCAAGAACAGTGACTAAAATAACTATGGAATTTGTTTTCCTACTTAATGAAAAGTCCCATGGTTGGCCATTCCAGGGCTAGTTCAGCCATTCTGTCCTGCCTCAAGGCCCCTGGCCTTTCCTTCCTTGTGTGTGCCTTACCATGCTTTGTATATTGGCCATGTTGCTTCTCATTATTTAAAAATTGCTGCCATTGCCCCAAACACCAAGTCATCACACAGTGAGGTCCAGAAACAGGACAATAAAGGGGAAAAATATCCTTACCCCTTTTTTTCCCCACACATCCTTAATTATTCTTTATTCTTTTTTTTTCAGTTTTATTGAGAAATAATTGACATACATCACTGTACATGTTTAAGGCATACAATATGATGATCTGATTTACATTATAGTGAAATGATGACCACAATTGTTCAGCTAACATCCATCATCTCATATAGACACAATAAAAAGAAAACTCACATCTTTCTCTCTCTTATTTTTCAGAAAAGACAATCTCTCCTCAAACTACCCAATAATTTGCCCAAAGCCGCAGAGCTGGTAATATGGTGGAGCAGGGACTTCAATGTGGACAGTCAGATTCTAGACTGTCCAACAGAAACATAATGCAAGCCACATATGCCATTTTAATGTTATGGTAGCTACGTTTACAAAGCAAAAAGAAGCAGGGGAAATTAATGTTTTATTTAACCCAATGGATACAAAAGATAATTTCAACACATCATCAATATAAAATTACTGAGATATTTTGTATTTTTTATACTAAGTCTTTGAAGTCTGATGTGTCTTTTATACTTATAGTACATCTCAATTCAATCACTATATTTTCATTGGGAAGACGATTTGTATTTCTAGTTCATGAAATTTACATTGAAAACATAGATACACGTCCCTAAGCTGTTCCGAATAAACTTAAAGTTTCCCAGTAACTGAATCAAGTAGAAGTTTTTACATTGACATTTAAATTGAAGTTAAATAAAATTGCAAATTCAGTTCCTCGGTCACACTAGGCACATTTAAAACACTCAGAAGCCACGTGTGCTAGTGGCTACCGTATTGGATAGCATAGTTCTGGAAGCTGCACACTTAAGCTCCTTTTTTGTCGATTCCCTGTACCCAAGTTCACAGTTACGTGTTGGCAGGTGTGCATCTGTATTTAGGTGGTGCACAATCTCTACAACTGGAAGACTGGGGACCGGCTTCGTCGTTGTTGCCCTGTTTCCGATTAGCTCAGTTTGATTGTGGGTGACCTCAGGTGAGTCGTTCTACTCCTCTGGGCCTCTGCCTCCTCATTTGTCAATGAGGGAGTGTGATCTCAGTCATCTTTTCTAGCTCTCGAATGATGTATGATTTCTCTCTTCTAAAAGAAGGAGGAAGGAGGACATTATTAAAGCTGTGGGCACCAGGGCGCACACACACATTCTTTTCAATGAAATAGGTGAAACTGGTGTTGCCAGTCTCTGGCAGCTGCTGCAGTGCAGTGGGCAAGCAGGACTCGCACAGCGCTGTCTTCTCTCATCTAGTACTGAGGGACGGGGTAATTGTATCTTTCTCCAGAATGCCGGGGATAAAGAAACACTGAAGCATTGCCTGGGCTCCAAATTCCAGGAAATATTGTGAGTTTTTTCCTTTATATACCTCCCCTTTTAAGGAAGAAAATCCTGTACGTGATGGAAAGCCCTGCGTTGGTTTCTGCAGTGGTTCTGAGTCGCTGGTTTCCTGGAGCGGGCTGTGTTCTTTTATGTGTGAAAGAAAGGGCCTTTGGCTCCTTTAGACTCCCCACTGTTTATTATGTGTGCTCCTGGCTTGTTAGTCAGGATGGGGCTTTTCATTTATTGGATAGCATAAAACCTTTGTTATATTTTAGCTACAGAGCTACAAAAGGATGGCGAGGGGATTCAAGTCGAACTGGAGAGTAACTATGGAGGCTTGAGGCCCTGCAAGCCACATGGTAATTGGGTTTGACCAGAACTTGCCTTCCAAATGGAGGATGTGGAGCTGTCAGTGGGATAAAACTTTAGCTCTCTGTGGGAAGGTCCCAGTTCCCAAAAACAATTCCCCCAGACTGGTGACCTTTTACTATTAGAGGTTCATTTCTTTGGGTTTTGTAAGGTGGACATAGTGAAAATAGCCTCCTCATGTGCAAATGAGAGATTCTAGTCTTAAGTATGAATTTTGGAGAAGAGGATAATAAGAAACTGAATGGAAGAAGAAGGCAGGAGGGGGTGGGGGAACCGAAAGGACGCTAAGGGAAGATGCTAAAGGCTGTCTGTCGTTTTGTAGTAAGCTAACACCTTACCGGAGTTTACACAGACCAGGAAATAGGTAAAAAATCTGCCACCAATTTATGCTCTGCTTAAAGGAAAGATAGGCTTAAAGGAAGCAGAATTGTGGGGTTTAGTTTCCTCATTTCTGTAACCAGAGTGGGGATTGGGAGGAAGGTGATACCTCATTTGTTCATTCATCTCTTCATCCCTTAATTGCGGTAGATAGCTTTCAGAGACGCACACCATCAGTTCCTGCTAATGGGTTCTGCGTCCAATTCCAGTGAGTGGGGAACGGGGTGTTCCCTACACCAACAAGCAATTCTCCGACGCCAGCTGGTTGTCCTACAGTTCAACTCAGTTCTGACACTATCCGCTGGAGACAGCCTCAGATTCCACAGGTTAAGGGTTCGGTCCCACAGGACTGCCCTCCGCTTCAGATGCCAATCGTAAGTCCAGGTTGTCGCCTGTGCTTCCTATGGACCAGGCCAGCTACAGATTGGAGGCTCCCATGACTCCCTCCTTGGGTTCGATTAATTTGCTGGAGTGACTCACAGAACCCAGGAAACTTATTTGCTCACTAAATTACTAGTTAATTACAAAGGACATTAAAGGAAACGAATCAACAGCCAGACACATAGGGGGAGGTCCTGACCAAAGGAGCGTCTGTCCTCACGGAGCTTGGGGCCCAGCAGGGTGGCACGTGGAAGGTTTCTGGTTCACCCCCAGAAGCTCTCAGAACCCCATGCTTTTGGGTTTTTATGGAGGACTCATTACGCAGGCGTGATTGATTAAATCATTGGCCATTGGTGATTGATTCCATCGCCAGCCCCTCTCCCTTCCCTGGAGGTCTGGGGATGGGACTAAAGTTCCAATCCTCTAATCACTTGGTTGGCTCCACTGGCAACCGGCCCTCATCCTTAGGTGAGGTCCAAAAGTCACCTCGTTAACATAACAAAATACACCTTTATTGCTGTCATCACTTAGGAAATTCTGAAGGTTTTAGGAGCTGTGTGCCAGGAATGGGGACAAAGACCAAATATATATTTCTTATTATAAATCGCAATATCACAGCTGCCTTCCCCGTACATGCATGCCTCTCCTTCCATCAAGAGCTAGGGTTTTTTTTACCTCTGCACTTGACGCTGGGCTGGCCTATGACTCGCTTTGACCAAGGGAATGTGGTGGAAGTGACGTTATGCCAGTTTCAGGCCTACCCTTTAGGAGGCTGCGCCGTGCTATGCAGCAGCTCGGGATGGACTGCTGGATGACAAGAGCCACAGGGAGAAGGAGAGGTCTTGTGGAGGGGCCTGAGGTGTCAGATTCTTTCTGGAACCTTCCCATCCAGCCCAGCCTCAATCGGAATGCAGGTGAGTGAGTGACCCCAGCCAATGCCACACGCACCCAGTATTCGAACCAACGAAACACTGGGCCACCTGCAGCAGAGCGCGCGAACTTAACCACTCGGCCACGGGGCCAGCCCCTCCTTAAAATTTTTTGTTTTCTAATTATTTGTGACAGTGCATACAAATAAAATAGATTTTTATATATTGACCTTATATTCTATGACTTTATATTCTGTGACTGTCACCTATTAGTTTTAGTAATTTTTTTAAAGATTCTTTAGGATTTTCTATATACATGATCATATTGTCCACGAATAAAGATGATTTTACTTCTTCCTGTCCAATATGTATGCCTTCTATTTATTTTTCTTGCTTTATTGAGCTTGCAGTGACCTCTGGGACAATGGTGAAGGGAAGTGGTAAGAGTGAGCAGCCTTACCTTGTTCCTGCTCTTAGGGGAAAGCACTCTTTCTTTCACCATTAAATACCATGTAAGCTTTAGGGTTTTCATAGAAGCCCTTTATCGGGTTGAGAAAGTTGCCTTCTATTCCTAATTTGCTGAAAGTTTTTGTCAAAGAGTTTTTCTTCATCAATGAGATGACCGCATATTTCCTCTCCATCATGCTGTTAGTGGGGTGAAGTACAATGTGGTCAGCAGCCTCTCAGCTGGTCCCAGTGATGCCCTTCTCCTGGTATCCGTGCCTGTGCGCAATCCCTCTTCTTGAGAAGGGCCGCAGTGACTCATCATAATGAATACAATACAGCAGAGGTCGTGGTATGTCACTTCTGAGGACAGGCTATGAAAAGACGGTGACTTCCATCTTGGGTGACCTCCCTCATTCACTTGCTCTGAGGAAAGCCAGCTGCCCTGTTGTGAGCAGCCCTGTGGAGAGATCCACATGGTGTGGAACAGAGGGAAGCCTTTGGCCGATAGCCAGAAAAGAACTGAGGGCTTCAGTCCGACAGCCCAAAAGGAACGGAATCTTGTCAATAACCTCATGAGTGATCTTGGAAGCAGAGCCTCCCTCAGTCAAGTCTTCAGGTGAGATCACCACCCTGGCTGACCCCTTGACAGCAAGCCCCAGGAGAGACCCTGTGCCAGAGAACCCAGTTAGACTGCGCCTGGATTCCTCACCCACAGAAACAGCAAGACAATAAATGTTCATCGCTTCAGAAAGCTAAATTTTAGGGGCGATTTCTTTATGCAGCAAGTGATAACTAATATCCACATTGATTGCTTTTTGAATGTGAAATAAATATTGCATTCTTGAAATAAACCTCACCTGGCTATGATATGTTATCCTTTAAAACCTTGTTGAATGCGATTTACTAGTATTTTGTTCAGGATTTTTGTGTCTCAGTTCATAAGGGATGTTGGTGTGTACTTCTTTTGCAATGTCTTTGCCCGGTTTTGATATTAGAGCTCTGCTAGCCTCATAAAATGAAATCCCTCCTCCTCTATTTTTCAAGAGTTTATATAAGATTCATATTATTTCCTCCTTATGTTTTTGATAGAATTCACCAGTGAGCCTGGAGTATTCTTGTAACAAGCTTTTTTTTTTTCTTTATTATAAATTCAATTGTCTTATAGATATAAAACTATTCAGATTTTGCTTCTTCTTGGGTCACGTTTTACCCTTCTCCAGCTTTAAAGATTGAAAGAAAAAATTATGTGGTGATTAAAAAAGAAAGGTAATCATAGCATAACAAGAATTCCTAAAGCTGCTTAGCATAACAGTTGGGTGGAAATGCATTTGTAGAGAAGAGTTCAAGGGACCAAGACGGTGGGGAAAGACAGCACGGGTGAGAGAGTCATGTCGGAGCAGAAGAGTGAAAGGGTTTTAGCAGTTTCAGGAAGGTAGAGAGCAGAGAGCAGGAGACTTTCACGAGTTGCTGTGGCCTAAATTAGACTCCCTGATATCTTTGAGAGAAACATGCATTAAGATTAAAATACTTGTCTGCACCAAGCTTCCTTGAGTGTGACGCCCCCTTGGGACATCACTGTGGATGCTTGGGACACAGCAGAGGGGGCATGCTCACAGCTTTGTAAGCATATCTATTCCACTGCTTTAACTTCACTGAACTTCATTACAATAACTCACATGTTGTGTTCCCATTGCTTTGTAACAAATTGCTCCAAAACAGCATACAACAACCATTTCTTATTACACTCATGGGTTCTTTGGGTCAGAATTTGAGCAGGACGAGGTAAAGACAGTTGTCTCTGCTCCATGCTGTCTTCAAGTCTCAGCTCTCTCCAGCCTGCCTTTTTCTCTACCTGCTGTGTTTTCCAGGCCCACTCGTCGGAAAGCCTTTTAGTTTCCTTAACACGCTCTGCATTTTCTCTTACTGAGGTCCTTCCTCCACACACGCCCTTCCCAGTCCAAAATGCTCTTCTCACACCACCTTGCCTGACTAGTTCCCACTCTCACTTGGGGGCTGCTTAGATGCCGTCTCCTTTGGAAGTCCTCCCTGACCCCCTGTGCATGGTTTACGTGCTCTTCCTCCAGGCTCTCATAATTCCCTGTTCTCCATCATGAAGCTCATCACTCATTACTTACTTCCTGACTCAATCGTCCGACTCCTCAGCTGGAGTGCTCGCTCCATGAAGCCAGAGATGGCCTCTGTGCTGGTGAAGTACCATCCCACCAGCTGGCACAGGGCTCACTATTTATTTGTCAAATGCATTAATGGACAGTGTGGGTGTTATTATTTCCATTCTGCAGAGGTGAAAACAGGGTGGAAGAGAGTAAGAGCCAGCCCAAGTCGTGGTCAGTTCATGACATAGCTGAATCTAAGCTCAGGTCACACCACCACCCAACACCCTCGTGCATCCTGGGAAACAGATGGCCAAGCACACTTGCAGCAAAACGCCACAGCTTTGGTCCTTGGAACTCTGCCAGCTGTGCCCACTGTCTTTCCAGCCTGGACATGCCAGGCAGCTGGGGCCATGACAGGAAAAGCCCTGGTTATTCTCCTGTTTTTGTTCATTCACCTGCGGACCATCCAGCAGGACACTGTGCTATAAACTTGTCTTGGTAAGACACAGCCAGAGAGATGAAGTTCTATTCTCATGATCAAGGCTCACAACTAAATATTGATCTTAATTAAGAAATAATGCATGGGGAGGGCCATGGGAAAAGTGGCAGCAGGATGTGGAGAAAAGGAGAAGATGGCAGCGTTTTTCTTTCCCAGTTAGAGTAGCGACAAATAGTTTTATCTTTCTTTTTTCCACTTGGGAAAAATGTACCCGGAAAGTACTTCACTCGGGGAAAAACAAGCCCGACAGCCAGACAACTGGATCACCCTGTGTCTTTCGCAGCTGCCATTAATGGGTGTTAAATCAATACCATTGAACTTCCAGATTTCCCAGAGTGGACACTTCCAGATGCCTGGCTCTGAGGCAAGGGGAGCTGGGATGTGAGGCAAGGCTGGACCAGCCAGATCTGGGCCTGTGAGATGGTAACCAAGCAACAGGCACACACTCTGAAAGGCAGGGCAACCAAGGGGCATGTGGCAGGATGGCAAGCAGAATTCAAGACCACAGCCTCTCAAGGCGAAGTAAGATATCCCAAGGCAGAGAGCTCAGAGAGCCAGATAAACAGGAGGAAAGAGCACCCGGTTACTGGAGGCGAGAAAGCCAGGCAGGCATGGGAATTTCTGAATTCCACAGCAACCAAATAACATTGAAATAACCTTGATACAGAAGCCAGATCCCAGCCCATGGAGGAGCTTCATGTGCACTTCCTTTTAAGGATGAAACCATCTTAATACTCAATAAGTAACACACGGGAACACTGAAGAAGAGAAGCTATACAGGTCACCACTAAGCATAAGAAACAGGCCTCAAATTTGTTAGCTATCAAGGAAATGAAAATTGAAAACACAATGAAAAACCATTTCAGGCCATTAGGATGCCTCAGGACACCACCCGTTGGTGGGGATGTGGAGCAACTCCTGGGGGCTGTGCAAAATGGCATGACCCCTTCGGACAATTGTATGACGGTTTCTTACAAAGTTAAACATACATACATCTACCCTATGATTCAGTAGCTCCATTCTTAGATATTTACTCAAGAAACATACAAACACACGTCCACAATACGATTTATAGATGAAGGTTCATAAAGAACTTTATTCAGAATAGCCCCAAACTGAAAACAACCCAAATGTCCATCAACTTGAGAATGGATAAATACACTTTCCATATAATGAAATATATTTAGGATTTAAAAGAATGAACTAATGGTATACACGATAGGATGAAAGAATCTCGCAGGCCTTATGCTGAACAAGAGACCACACTCATTTCTGTGCGATTCAAGAACAGTCAAAAACTAATCTGTGGTGACAGAAATCAGAACGTAGTTGGGAGTGGGGAAGGGGACTGGGAGGATGTAAGGGGACTTTCCAGGATGTTGAAGATGTTCTATATCGTGTTTTGGGTGGTGCGTCCAAGGGTGTAGACAGTTGTCAAAACCCATCAAGCTGAACATCTAAGATCATTGCACTTTGCTCTGTGCTAGTTATATCTCAGTTTTTCTAGAAAGCCAAGGAAAATTAGAGTCCCTAGGTCTAGGATGGCACATGCAAAACACCCATACTGCTACTTCCACTTCTGCACCCAAGGCAGACATTATTAATTGATTTCAGCATTCTGTGCCCTTGAGCTTCAACGGCGCTTCAGAGTATATCACAAGCAGCCACTATCAATCCACCAATACGTTAGGGGTCAAAGCCAAAGCAATGTAGTACAGCACTGTGACTCTCAACTTGTTTCTCTAGTTTGGTGAGGCCTGGGGAAATTCAAATTTTCTATAAAAATAATAATCCCATTACAGAAAAGTATTAAGACAATTCAAAACCCCACTCTCCTAATACCACCACTGATACCACTGAAGTGTGTTTCCTTCTATGATGTTGTCCTGACACAGTTTAACATTCAGGTGTCGGTCCTGCTTCTCACTACTCTAAGGATTTTCCTAGGTTACCTAATAGTTCTCATAACTTCTTTTTTTTAAATGGCAGCATAATTCTCCGAGGTGCTGCACTATCATTTGCTGACCCCTTGTCTGTGGTTGCAGCTACCCTCCTCTCATTCCATTTATACATTTTGGGGAGAGGTTTTGGGTTCTGGGCTATAGTTAACCTTCATTGAATGCCTTCTATGTGTAGGCACTATGTTTAGTGTTTTACATATATTTTATTTAATCTTTACAACCGTCTATGGGACAGCTACTGATTATGTTTTACAGAGAGGGAAACTGAGTCATAGGGACATTAAGGAACTCACCCAAAGCTACATCACCAGTAAGTGGCAGTGTTGGGACTGCGCAAGATGCCTGCTGTCTTAGAGTAGCAAGTAGAGAGGGAAAAAAAAGAAAAAGAAAGAAAAAATGTGCATTTTACTGTATGTAAATTATACCACAATAAAGTTGACTTAAAACAATAAAGAGGGGGGCCAGCCCGGTGGTGCAGTGGTTAAGTGCTCACATTCTGCTTTGGTGGCCAGGGGTTCGCCGGTTGGGATCCTAGATGCCGACCTATGTACCACCTGGCGAGCCATGCTGTGGCAGGTGTCCCACATATAAAGTAGAGGAAGATGGGCATGGATGTTAGCTCAGGGCCAGTCTTCCTCAACAAAAAGAGGAGGATTGGCAGTAGATGTTAGCTTAGGGCTAATCTTCCTTAAAAAACAAACAAACAAAAAGCAATAAAGAGAGGAAAGAGCAGCAGAGAGAGTTCTGGGTCTTCCCTGCTGGCCTCCTCAGCATCAGAGGAGAATGCTACTTGATTCTCTTCCCCAGGATGAATTTTGTGAGATCCTTTTTTTTGGTGAGGAAGATTGTCGCTGAGCTAGCATCTGTGCTAATCTTCCTCTACTTTGTATGTGGGACGCCTCCACAGCATGGCTTGATGAGTGCTGTGTAGGTTCATGCCTTGGATCCGAACCCATGAACCCTGGGCTGCCAAAGCAGAGTGCATGAACCCAACCACTGTGCCACTGGGCTGGACTCTTGCTAGATCCTTTTGGCGACTCCTTCCTTTTTCTGCTTAAGCTCCTTTGTGTGGATTTTTGCCACTTGCAGTCAAAATGCTTCTGAATAAGATGAAGTTACAACTGATCTTGGAGAGAAAGGGTCTGGGGGCCATGATAACCAGTCATCCTTGGGTTTGTGTAAGCTGTTCAAAAAATGAAATTGCTCCTCCCCAACTAAATCCAAACTTAAGTGTCTCCTTCTGGATCTTTTCCTGACCATATAGAATCATGACACATGTGTATGTGGTGGATGTTGATTGAGTGAATCCATCCGAATTCTATTCCACCCTCTCCTGAAAACAACCACCTGATTTCCCTCGGGGGACCCCACCCCCAGTCCAGCTCTCATTTTCAGTGAGCCTGTGAGGCTCAGTCAGGGGGCTGACCCCACTTCCTGGATCAAG